GGCTGGCTGGCGGGGCTACGACGACCCCCAGGAGGGCGGCAAAGTGGTGCGCGGGCCCGGCGGCGAGACCCTCTCGCTCGCCTACTGGCCCGAGTGCTCCGACACAGAGGTGCCACCGCTCGACTTGGGCTGGACCGACAAGACCTTCTACCGGGGCATCAGCCGCGTGGCCCTCTTCACGCACCCGCGCAAGGAGGAGAGCGCGCCCCACCTCAAGGAGGTGGTGCGGGACATGATCCAGCAGGCCCAGAAGGTAGGGCCTGGCACCCCACACCGGGCACCCGCCAGGGCCAGCGGCCACGGCCGGCCCCATGACCGCTCGACTTGGGCTGGACCGACAAGACCTTCTACCGGGGCATCAGCCGCGTGGCCCTCTTCACGCACCCGCGCAAGGAGGAGAGCGCGCCCCACCTCAAGGAGGTGGTGCGGGACATGATCCAGCAGGCCCAGAAGGTAGGGCCTGGCACCCCACACCGGGCACCCGCCAGGGCCAGCGGCCACGGCCGGCCCCATGGCGGTGGGGTCGGGCTTGGTGCCACCTGCGTCGCCGAGGGCAGGGGCAGCTGCAGGTGTGGGAGCAACACGAGGCTTTGGCAGCGCCGGCTTGGCCGAGATGTGCGGGGTGGTAGGGAGCCCTCCCACACCCGGATTTCGTTTGCTGCTCTTTTCCGTGCCACAGCTGGAGAGTGTGGTGGACCCTCATTTTCTGGTGGTCAATCCCCTACACTTCTTTGTGCAGCTCATCGCCAGTCGTAATAACATGATGGTTTGCCCACATGAAATAAGAGCTGACATCCGGGATGGGGTTAACCCTGCCTCATCCGGGCGTTTTGTGTCCGAGGTTCAAGTTGTCCTGCCCCCATCGGACTCATTGCGTCAGGGGAGCACACGTCGGGATGCCGTTCCTGCCGCCTCTCCCGACGTGCGGACAGCCCTGTTGGAGCACAGAGTGGGGCTGTTTTTGTGGCCTCGGTAGCACCCGGCCTCTCGCCAGGCAGCCCATGTCTGGACAGCGTGCAGCAGCTCCTCCTATTTACTTTTGTCTGCAGAGACTGTTAGTGTTAGTGGTGATACTGCACCTCTGCCAAGACCCAAACCAGCCGGGACGGTGCAAGAGCTTGCACAAGAGTAGGTTGGGGAACAACAATGAGGTTTTTTTGCCTGGATCCAGGCGAATTTTTCACGCAGGAAATGATTCCTGTCAGGGCTGATGTCCGCTCCATGGAAATGGGGAACAGTGTCAGGTCCTTCTTCCCTGCTTTTAGTTTTGTTGCTTTCTGAGAGAGGCGAATTCAGTGGTTGTTTCCTCCTCCCCGCCTCCAGGCACAAACTACCTGCGCACCCCTTGCAGAGACTTGTTAAAACTAGACCTGCTGGGATATACAGAAAGCTTTCCAGCAAGACATTAATCTGTGCTCTCCTCAGCTACCCACTCACAGAGATACGTGCACACTCCATCATGGCTGCTGTGAAACCAGAAGCTGCAAAATACTTTCATTCTGATTTGGTGTAACTTCACATCCTCTTTTCACTGGCATAAATTCCTCTCCAAGTGCTATGATGGTGAGGAAACGTGGCTCTTTTTGATAGCTGTTCCTGGCACCTGAAAGTAATTAATTTCTCTGGATTTCTTTTTCGCTGACCAGCTGAACTGTGCCCCTCCCAGCTCAAAGGTGGTTTCATGTTTAACAGCCATTTAAGTGTTTAATGGCCTTTTTTTCTTAGATAACTATGCCTATTGTGCCCAGCTGAGCTGGTCCTGGAGGAAAAAAAATCTCCAGGCTGCAGCTTTCCATTCAGCGGAGGGTTGTGGCTGGGGGAGGACTAAACAGGTACTAGTAATATTTGGCGCATGGCTGTGGGTCCCTTATCAGCAGTGTTTAACAAACATGCGTTAATTAAGCTACTTTGCTGCAATAAGATTGGCAAGTTAATGCTTGCCAATCTGTACATACCTAAGAAGAGGCTGGCACACCTATGCCCCTATAGCTAAGTAGTGTTATTATCCATAGGGTAGATAGAGGAATGGGAAAAAATTCTTGCAGGGGTAAACACTCATGCTCCGACTTGCTGCTTCTGGGAACGCTCCTAGATAACCTTGACAGATCACTATGACATGGGTTTAGGAAGACCATGTCATATTAGCAATGACAAACAACTCAGGTTGCCAGCTGGGAACTGTCAGTTGCAAGGGAGTTGATCAGATGCCCATGGAGGGGTACTTTTTTCATGGGTTTAGTCCCTGGCTTTGTAAAGAAACCTGATTAGCCTTAGAGACCCAAAGCACTGAGGGAGGCCATCAGATTGCAAGGCCAATATTATTTAAGTAGCTGGGCCTACTGAAATTTCTGCAGATGTAGGACTCTTTGCAAACAGAAGAGATGGAAAGAAAACAAAATTCACACCTCTGCTAGCTATGCTCGTTCAAGCCCCTGTGTGGTTGTTCTTACTTCAGCAAAATCCTGTCTGGTCTCTATGTTTCTGAATAACAGCCTCCATATTAGAGTGTGTTTATGGGAGAGAAATGACATACTTTAATTAATGCATGAAAACATCATGCCTTTAATCGTAATCTGTACAATAAATTGTTTAGGAATAAAGTGACATAAGTTCACTGCATTTTAATTTTTCAGAAGTTCTAATAACATTCCATGTATCTTGCTGCTTTGTGTGGAAGATAAGAAGTAAGGTGGGACCTGAATTCAGTTCTTCTGCTTAGCAGAATTTATCAAGACTCTTACTATTATTTTATAATGGAGCTCTGTCATGTCACCTGTGTCAAAAATGTACATATTAATGATGGGCTTAAAATACCATGGCAGCTGTTTTTTATTTTTTTAACAAATAAAAGCTTGTGTAAGCACTGCTGACAGGAAGCCTGGCAGAGCAGAGGTGTTGGGTTTTTTTTGGCAGTACCAGGCAGAGTCTCAACAGGAACAGTCTAGGGAATGCCATTTACCATGGCATCCATTTCCCTAAACCTCCCTTGCTCAAGAACGTTTTCCAAGCACAGCGCTCTCTGGTGGGAATTATCCCCCACCTGTTATTCTCACAAGAGGTCCTACAGTTGAGCTGTGTAAGAAAATTGTATTTTGATCCACTTGTAAATTCCACTCACATCTTTTTGCTTAACCCCAACACAGCCTGGCTTGTCCCTGTGACCTCAAGGCTCATGAAATTTAGAATTTAGCCCATTGCTTCCTAGCCCACTGTTAGCATGGGTGCTCCAGCTCGGCAGGTTCACATTTCCCAGTGGGACTAGGAAAACAGTAGTTTTCTTCATTCATAGCCTTCCAAAGATTGAAGAGAAAAAGGCTTTCATGAAAAAAAAGGATATATGTAACATTGTGAAAGCTATAGAAAGTGTGGAGAGATGCAGAGACAGAAAGAACATATAAAAACATCATGCAAGTTCTCACAGTGAATTGGTAAAATAGAAAAACGGAATTCTCATTGTTTGCACAATTATGGCTGAGGAGTCATGCTCTGACTCCTCTCTACATTTATTCTTCCATCACTCACCTTGTGATAATTACTACAGTTGTGTGTTTCACTCTTCTTTTTCAATCTTTTTTCAGTGTTTTTCTTTGTTTAAGAGGATCCTTTCAGAGGCAAAGAGGGTTTCACAGTCCAAAGTTAAAACTGGGTATTTACCTTTAGTGTTCTTCCGGCCTCTGAAGTAAGCCATCTTTCCCTAGAAGAAAGAGGACTTTCAAAGAGATTTATTAAGTTCCTTCCAAAGTGCAGCAGGACCCATGCCAGAAAATTATGAGATTGTTGGGAGGTGCTTGGGCATGTACATTCCTGTACTTTAATCTCCCCTATATCCTCCACCTCCATGTTCTGGTATCATAAAATCATCGAATCATAGAATCGTTAAGGTTGGAAGGGACCTCTAGAGATCATCTAGGCCAACCTCCCTGCCAATGCTCTCCTTTATTTCGCGCCAGTGTGACGGACCTCCCTTTCAGTTCCTGAAGTTTTATTTAATTGTCTATCTTCTATCTTCTTCTTTCCAGATTATTGCACTGGTCATGGATATATTTACAGATCGGGACATCTTCCGAGACATTGTTGATGCAGCATGTAAGCGTTGGATTCCTGTCTATATAATCCTAGATGAGGACGGGGTGAAGCTTTTCTTAGAAATGTGCCGCTGCCTTGAGCTCAAGGACACACAGATCCGGGTAAGATATTAAATAATGGACCATTATTTCCTACAGGTCAGTGACTTTTTAAAATTGTAATGTACTTTGGAACTTACTTGGACAGATGGACAGATCTCTTCCTCTATATCAGTCACATCACAGAACCTGAGATAAGGGTTGATGAAACATAGACAAATAAGAGAGTATCTTGCTGACACAGAAGGAAAAAAAAAAGAGAGAGAAAAAGGAAAGACTTGGATTAAGTGCCTTGTGAAGTAAAAAATCCTTTCAGGGAAGAAACTTGTCTGAGGAAATTCCTGTGGGTCTCCTATTCGAAGATTCAAACTCGTCTAGAGTCCAGAATAATTCTTTGAGCTATTGTTTGCATGGATCCCAGTTTTAGTACACGTTTTGTGAAATCTAGACGTTTTTCACCAGCAGCAACCTTTTGACCCCATCTGTAGCCTGTATGAGCTTGTACTCCTCTTTTGCCTGAGAAAACAAAGGACTGGAGAGCACAGCCCCATTCCATGACAGAATATGTCTTCATACAGTGGATGCAGCACAGCAGAGTAGTCAGCCTAGCTTGGCTTGCACAAGCAGCCTCAGTAGGATTGCTTTCCATAATACACAGACCGGAAAACTTGGTGTGTTTATACTTAGTATTATACTTCATATTGTTTTAATGTATTAGCTTAAAGCTTATGAAGCTTATTAGCTTAAAACACTCTCACTGCTTAGAGACTTGTTTTAGATCCTGGAGAGACTGCTATGCTGGAAACAACCTACGGGGGTGCAAAGCTTGTACAGATGCCTTAGCAGTGAAGGCAAAAGGTGCCTTTCTGCCTGGGGGAAGGGCAGATCTTCTATATACACTCAATTAATAGTTTCAAAAGGCAAAAAAAAAGTCTCAAGAGGCTCTGAAGGTTAGAGAAGCTCATAAAACATATAATATTGAAAGAGAGCCAGCTTAAATCTGGATGAAAATGACTTGCATACAGCTGAACAATGCTCCTGTGAACTACTATTCTCAGTTTCTGGACTTCTCCATCAAAAAAGTCATGCAGCTGAGCAGTTGTCTCATTTATCTCCCAAAGAGAAAGGGAAGTTTCCTTCCTCTGGTGTCTTTGAAAGCGAGATAGAGGCATCATAATACTAGACCTGTTTCAAGCTTCAAGAGTACTCAGTGGCCTAGACTTGAGTTTCTTTGGTACCAAACTGAAACAGCAGCAGTAACTCTTTTTTTGTCCTGATACCTGTTTTCCAGTACTTTTCTCACTATATCATCATATGCAGGATTGATAACTTCAGTACTAAATATTTTAATTACCCGATAGCATAAAAAAAAAATGACCTGGCATTTTAGTAAAAGTTGCAATGTTGTCTGCCTTTTCCATCTGCACAGGAGGTGGTCCCCTCCTGCTCCTCCTGTTAATATAATACAGCAGTATTTCTTATATTTCTTAAATGTTTCTTCAATTTTTCTTGTTTTTTTAAATACAGCAGTATTCACAAAGACTTTCTAGACCAAAACATATCTTCACAGTGGCAAGCAACAGCAGTGACTTGGACCTGCAGCATCCCAGTTGTATGACAAGATCACCCTTTCCGAAGTATAGTTCAAACTGACGTTAATCAAAAGTGGTAGAAAACTCTTCTGTCCATTTCTATGCCTCCCTTCTCTAAGAGGAGTAATTGTTTTTCTTTAGGCTCCTTTAACTTAAAAAAGTCAAAAACACAAACTGAAAGAAAACTTTTTAACATCCCTCTTTAATTTAGTTCTTCAATTTTCAATCTTCTTCAAGCCTTCCCTAGCCTCTTCCAGCTCTCTCATATTGAATTCCTCGCTAAGGGGTTGTTATATTCCCTTCCCAGTGTGGCTGAAGTGGCTTTAGTTGTCCTTGTCAAGGCTAATAGATTTTATTCCTTCCTATAGTGCCACACTAGGTATTATGAAAGGGCTGGGAAAAGTCTTCCTCTAGGCAGAGGAAGGCCCTTCCTCTAAAGAGAAAGAGGTCACAATTTTTTGAAGGAAGATGAGCTCAGTATCCTACCCTAATTCTTGTTCTTTTCCACCCTGGGCCTATATGTCTGTCAGCTAAGAAACGGCTGGTTGGTAACACTTTTTTCCAAGACTTATTTGGATGTAACTGGGCTGCTGTTTGTGTCAGTACAGCAAAAGTTATAGTGATTCTTCTGACACCAGGCTTTGGCTATCCAAGGAATCTCCAGCCAGGTACACTCTCCCATTTGAGGAGACACCTAATGTGCTTAGGGTTGTTTGGCACTGCAGTGCTGAAGACCCACCTGTAAAGCAGAACATAAGCTGGACGTACAGCCTTCTTCAGGCAGAATCATTTCATCCTCTGCTGCTGGATCACAGAGGATATTGGAGTTGCTAAGGAAGAAGTGGAGTCTCTAGTGCAGTTAACTCTCTCATTTTCCCATTTCTTATTTATGCAGCATCTCCCTCTTGACATCTGCTCTCATGCCATAAAGTCTTCTACACATTACCAGCTACAAGGAAAACATTTTGCCTTTCCATCATCTTTTTGTGTAACTGTTTTGCTTTTTTCTAGAAGGCCTTGACCAGTGGACCACAGTTTGTCAGCAAGAGGAATTTCCTTCTTTTCCTCCTTGTCTTCTTCCCATCTCTTCTTTGGAATGCTTCTGCAAGATTTGCAGGATGGCTTTTGCTTGGGAAGCTGCAGCAATGGGGGAGGTAACTTCAGGGTTTACCCTAAAGTTCTGATGCCAGAACTTGCACAGAGGCAAGTTCTGCTGCCGGAGAAAGAGAGAGATGACACATTGCCATGGATCTTCACTGTTGCAGGGTTGAGGTGCTTATTTTGGCTTCTGTCATCCCCTCATCAGATGTTGACATTGCTCCATGTTTCCTGCTCTTTTGTTTTCATCTCTCTGTTCATCCAAAGCAGAGTGAATTTCTTGAGGTTCTAAAACAGGGAAGTTTATTATTAACACTAGAGTTTGTCCTTTGTCTATGCACAGTGTTGGAGGGTTTACAAAGATCCTTACTCTTTTATCCTTTTGAGATGACAAGGTGTTATGATCTGCCCACAGTCTCACAGGAAGGAAACTGTTACAGAAGAGACAGTAACTCACTCTGCATAAGACAAGAAGTTCTTTACTGACTCTCGACCTAAAATGAGGGGAAAAAAACACTTTTTTTTTTTTCTCATTTCAAGGCTAGAGTTCACTTGAAGTGCATTTAAATTCAACTATCTGCACATTCATCCTGGGATGTTAGCAAGAGCATGTTTCGTATGTCAGTAAGAGCATGTTTTGTCTGTATGAGTCATATGGCCGCTTGAGCCTGCGGGGCACGGTTTGCCAGACTTCCGTTATGTTTCACACAAGGGTGTTCTGAGATCAGAATGAGTCAAAGTTCTCATGGATGTAAAATTCATAGGTTCACAAAAGTCCTCCTTTTGTTAAGTAGAGGATCAGCCTGTTCACTAAGTTTTGGATGACTTCTCCATGCTTCTGCTCGGACTCTAGAACTGATAACTGCAGCTCAAAGACAGGGAATTCACCAAGAGCTCCAAGCAAACCCAAGGAATGTGGTATCTGCATGAAGTTCATCTTCATGTTAATATTTAGGTTCATTTTCCCAGCATGAAAGGAGATCGTTTCCTTATTCCAGAAATTCTTAAATGTTACTACAAGTTTTCCTCTAGGGCTTTTTGAAATTTTATTTCAGTTCACATATTTACCTCACAGCTTTCCTTGTCCAATCCTAAGTGAAGTGAGGGGGGAAGCTGACAATGATGTGATGCAGGAGTCTTTGTGCTTTTAACAATCTGCTACAGAATTGGCCTTTAGAAAATGGGGGTTTTCACGGCTCTTTTTTCCCAAACAGCCATCTAAATCATAATAATGACATTGCCAGGCAAGGTACAGCTGGGTGCATTCCCTCCTATTCTACCTGACTATCTGCAGGTTCTAATATTACCTCCACAGGAATGCTTTTTCCAAAACTGTTTAGGGCAGACTCACAGGGTAAGTCCACAGTCTTTCCCAGGACTATCTGGTGGAAGTTTCCAGATGGTTGTTGCTTTTGTGTCTCTGTGTAAAACGAGTACTTAACACCCATCTCTTCCACCTAGAGGTCTGCTCACCACAAACAACAACTTTGAACACCGTGAGATAGAAAGATTCCTTGTCTGTTGTCACTAGGGCCCATATGAATCTCATGTGTCCACATGAATCTCCCCCTCTTTCATACTTTTCTGGAATCTCCATCTCCAGTATTTTAGAGCAGAAAAAAAAACAGATTTCTGGGGCCACCCCCTCAGCTGCACTCAGGTGATGCAGTCATGCAAGGACCCAGAGCACAGGAGTTAACAGACTTTTGAAGGGCACCAGAAGGGTGATCACTACATTTTGAATAAACAAAAGCAATGTACAGGACTGTTGAGTCACTGTCATACATCAGCTACTGCTTTGTTCTGTTGCCTATCTATTGTTTGTTTTAAAGCTCTTTGTGCCAACCATCCCAACCTGAAATAAGGATCTCTGCTTGCATTGCAACATATAGGAGGGAAGGGCAGGCAGGATTCCTTAATGGAAGTAGTTGCAACACTTCCCTTAGGGTCCATCTTGTCTGTCCTCACCCTACCCAACACCAACTCTTGGCCACTGCTGCCCAGATCTCTTTAGGGACAACTGAGTGTTAGTCACAACACAGACACTGACCGACTTTTTAAACTGGGTCTAATTTAACTTTCTGTGGATTCTGGGTGAGGTGTAAAAGTGTGTCACAAGAAAACAAGACTGATCTCTTCACTGTGTGTATTAGGATCCTTTGTCAGGCTTGAGTGTTACCAGTCTACATAAGTTGCTGACAGGCGCAGGCAATTAATCGTTGCTGGAGATGAGGAGTGGTGCAAACCTGCATAAACAAGATGTGGAAATATAACACAGGCTGCAGCTTCCAAAAGCCAGGATATGACAAACCTTAAGCAGCTGTCTGCAACAGAAGCTTCCAAAAGAATACAGATCTGGAGGAATCACTCTCTTCTATCTGGGAACTGATCCATCACCCAGAACATCTATCACTACTGTAATGTGTGCCCAAAGAAAATGGTTGAAATCTCACCTCATTTATATTTGCCTTTCATCTTTAACTGTTGTATAGTCTTCCATACATGAACTCAGGCTTGTTCCTCCTCTGTACAAGCTTGATCCCACTGTCTTCAAGTGCTCTGAGATCCTTCAAGGCAGAAAACATACAAATAACCTGTTAAGTAACTCGATGTTTATGTGACTTTATGCACGTTTTCTGCACTTCAAAATGTATTTATGCCTCCCATGCCTACTTTGCTCAAGGAGGTTTACATGTTCAGCACCTTCTGTGCCTTTGTAAGAGTTAAGTGTCCCTCAGTCACTGCAGAAATTCAAATGTGCTTTTTCCACCAAAATAAGGTGATGCAGCATGCACACCTGGTAAAACCAACACTTGTTAAATGCTTAGAAACTTCCTGCTTCCACACAGCCTGATAATTCTTGATTCTGAAATGCATACTACATATCAGAGCGGTTGACTGATGTGAAGAACAAAGGTCCTTCTTGACCTTGCAGACAATATTCCATAATTGATCCAAAATCCAATTTTATTCACCAAGGAAAAAATGGTTTTAGGTGAACAGTCACCCAACTACAAATGCTGCACCCCTGCTCCCATGCTCTGGCCAACCTGCATTCAGCATCCCACACATATGACTCACTGCTAGGCCTTGGGCAAGTCACTTCATCTTTTTCTCTCAGGTTCTTCATCTCTAAAACAAGGTAATGATACTTTCAGCAGTGTTGGGAGGATTAATCAGCTAATGCCCACACAGAACTCCAGACAGATCAAGCAATAGATGAATGCAGAATAGTAGTATCATCAGTTACTGTTAGTCAGAATTTGTACTGCCGCTGCTATATTTTTACTGGGCAAAATAGGAACAGATTCAAAAGGTAAGAGTTGTATTCAGAAAAACGTTTTTTGAAAGAATCCTGCCCTCTTATAATCACTTATTCGTGCATGCCGATTTCTATAGCCTATCAATATTTAAACTGTCATTGAAGTTCATAATAATAGTACTTAGCACTTGATGGGATGTACAGCACTTAAGGCTGTACTAGCATTAGCCAAATCCTCATGATTCTATTGTTCTGCAGATGGGGGAAGAATGAGGCAAAGGTGAATTGACTTTCCCAAAGCATCACAAGGGATAGTGATACAACTGTGATTATCCTTGGGACTATCTGACTGACCCTGGACTTATTTCTCCAGATCACAATAATTTTTACCTTTCATTCTTAAAGAATCCTTGCAAAAATAAATGGTAGAATAAAAAGTCTAAATTTCTATGTCAAAGTGACCATATAATTTGCTATAAACTTATGATGACAATCCATGTGCTTTTTGTTTTTTCTTTTTGTTTGTTTTTTTGTTTGTTTGCCTTTGCTGGCTTTTTCTCCTATGAGGCAGTGCATTTACCTGTTTGGCAACTGAGCCTCAGATAGCCGGGACTCATGGGGTGCATTAGTCTGAGTAGAGTAACTCTCAGTCCAGCATGAAAATGTGTTCTTGCAGGAAGTGCAGACACACATCTTGAAGCAGACTATAGAACCTTAAATTAGTGTTTTCTCTGTCCCTGGTAGTCTTTTGTTTTGTTACTGGTAGATTTGATGATCAAATGGGGAAAGGCGAGACAGGAGTTTTGAGGAGAGGTAATATGTTCATGTAATTTCAGTTCATCTCATAAAAGATTTTGCCTTCTTCTTCTTGGGACATGGATAGAGACACTTGTCCTACTTCTGCTTGCAAAAAGTGTTCTGCATTCTTTCACTTTCCTCTGCACACTGAAGAATCTAGGCAGACACTTTAGGTGCTTGGGGTTCTTAAAATGAGAAAGGTCAGGGTTCTTTTGTTAAACAGGCAGGAAATACCCATGTTCTGAGTAACAGAACTGATTCTCCATCTCTTCTGCAATAACTAAATTGTCTAGTTTTCTAATTTGGCCATTTTTTTTTCAAGTTACATGTTATTGGTGTCAAAACACAATCAATCACCGAAGAATTACCAAAAAAAAGAGCCTCATTTGGGCCTGCCTCATGTATTACCTTCCTGCCTCATTTATTACCTAACTGCATCTTTTAGACTGCACACTGGTTGGGAAATTCCTTGGTAGCCCAGTCTGGAGAGCAGTTCACGAGTACTGTGGAATGGGGGTCAGGCGAGTGCATGCGTGCTTCTAATTCATTGCTCTGAACAGGGCTCAGCCTTCAGAGCTGCAACACAGGACTGGGGATGGAGGATTATTTGATTTTCAAAGCATTCTCTTGGCAGAGGACTAAGACGAATAGCTAAGAGAGTAGGCAGAGTTACAAAAAGAGTGACCTATTGGACAGGGGTATAATTTGATGGAGGGAAGTAACCTGTACAGACAGGGGTGGCAGCAGGGCCTTCGGTGCCCTGCTTTCCTTCCTGCAGCCCTTCTGATTTCTGGTGGCTGATATAAAATGAGCTGTAGTTCCAGATGCAGTGAGATAATGTGAGTGACATGTTAAGACTTGGAGCTGGCAATTAGGTAATTCTCTGCCCTATGTATTGTGACATTTTGTCTCTTACCTCCCTGCTAGAACATCCGTATTCGTTCTGTGACAGGAGTTGGGTTCTACATGCCAGCAGGAAAAATCCGAGGTGCTTTGGCATCCCGATTCCTGATGGTGGATGGTGAAAAAGTCGCCACAGGATCCTACAGGTGGGTTGCTCTTGCTTAAGGGAGCTAGAGAGTCTTCCTCCCCTGTCATTCCATTTCCTATCCCAGCCTTTGTAATATTTGGCAGCTGTAGAAATCAGAGTGGGACAACAGAGGCAGTCGTACAGGGCACAGACTGCTTCCAGGAGAAGAGAACTTGCCCATGCTAATGGTCTGTTTTAGTGTGCTGGAGATCCGGCCACTCTGCATCAGGTGCTGGCCAGTGAGGACTCCCCACTAGCCACAGCAGTCAGTTCTCTGCAGTGAGATTTTGACTCTGCAGACTCCTCCCATTGAGGAAGTATTGCTTTTTTAAAAGGATAACCTGTTCTTCAGAGTTACAAAGCCTTTGTTCCACATCTGGTCTACATGCCTATAAAAGAACAATAACAAAGAACTTCAGGTATCTGTACTGACCCAGGTTGACAAGGTTGTATGAGCAAATGGTACAGTGCTAGGCATTCCCACAGAGTAAGTGTTTTAGATATTAAGTGTCTGGGTCAAGTAGGCACCCAAAAATCTAATGTCAGTTCTATTTCCTTCTCTTAGCTTCACGTGGAGTTCATCCCATGTTGACAGAAACATCCTACTCGTATTGACAGGACAGCATGTAGAGGTGTTTGATGTTGAATTTCGTGAGCTCTATGCCATTTCAGAGGAAGTCAATCTCTACAAAGAACTGGGTATTCCTAATCCACTGCCTCCGGGAGTTGGTAAACTGGGCCTTCATTCCTCCACTGTGGCTCGGAAGATCATCAACCCCAAGTATGGTTTAGTGGCAGGGGCAACCCGTGGTGATATGATGCTCTGGGCTTCACGACACAGGCAGGAGAACCAGGGGAATTTGGAAAAAGAGGAAACAAGTGAGTCGAAGAAGCGGTTGAATCAGTTCCTGAATGACTTAGTCACACTGGAGCAAGAACTCCCAGAGATTGAGCCCCCTCTGGAGAACTTGAACAAGTCAAATCGGAGTCCTCAGAAACTGTTCTGTCGGCTCCACGTGGACTTGAAAAATAAATCCAAATCTAGAGAATCTATTCGTGACATGAAGAAAGAAGATGCGCAGCCCAGCTCAAAGCAAGGAAAACGTTTTGCCAGTGGGCTTTTCAGTCGCAAGGCCAAACGGTCTCCAGGCTCGAGCATTGAGGCCAATTCTTTTGCCAGTGAAGGACATTCAGGAGAAGACCTGGGGAACATGAAACTGGAATGTGAACGGCTCAGCATAGGTCATGCCAGCATTCGGAGTGCTGGAGGCATCTCAGGTAAAACCTCTCCCTGCAGCACTTCTGTGCTTCCTCTCTGCTTCTGTGGTCTTAGCTGTCCCTTCTTCTGAGCCTGCTTGATTGCTGCAAAAAATGTTCAGCATAGGCCTATGTGAGTACATCTTGTCATCAGCCACATCTGTGTTAAAATGACCAGGATCAAAGAAGAGTAAAGGCTGTATCAAATGAAGCACAATTCTGAGGCAATGTAATGGCAGTCTCCTCGTAAGACTGGCATTTCTTATGTAAATGTTTTCTAATACTTGGCAGCAAGCAGGTATTGGGAAAACAGAGGGAAAGGTGAATGTCTCCTTCTGAAGAACAGGTTGAGTGAACAGTTCTTGAATCGACATTGAAGGGCACTGCCCTAGTAAATGGCAGCAGTGTGTTCAGTGTCGTAGTGGCTGCCTGGGTGCAGAGGGATTTCCAGTGTAACCCCTCCTTTCCTCATTTGGCTTTAGTTGGCTGGATTTACTGTGAAAAGGTTACTAGTGTAGAATAAGAGAAAGCAGGTTGTTATGTTGGGGTGAGGGGCAAAGAAGTGGAGGAAAGGGCAGAGATCTTTTTAGTTTGCTTCTTTATCCCTTGAAATGGGAGAGAGGGTCATAAAGAGAAGCTGTGGAGAGCTACTAGATCTCAGCCCTTCATTCTTCTCTGATGTATGATTTATATTTTCACTATGTTCCTTCAAGGGATCTTCTGGTTCAAACACAAGTGATAAAGATCTTCTGCAATTTATGGGTTAATAACTAACTTGACAAGGTTTTAGAAGTTTTGTCAGACTGAAGTAAATCTATGCACTATTCAGCTTGGTCGTCTCCCTCTCAAGCTGTGTTTGCTGCCAAAGCATCCTGCTCCAACAAGAAAATAAACTAGTTCAGGCAAGAACATTTCTTCTCCATATGTCTGTCCAGGGACCATTCTATGCTCTGATAAATGTGAAATGCAGGAGTAGAACAGCTGAATTCCCTTGAGACTGCTATGTTGTGAGATGGAAAGACATTCTGTGGAGAGCAAACAAAAAGACAAAGTATTGGGAAAGTCAAAAGCAGTGATTGATGCAGGTCTTGGAAATATTTCTGCCTGAATGAAGGGCAGACTTAAAACTGCCAAATCAGCATGAGCAGCACTGTAATAAGGCATGGAAGGTTAATCTAAGACCATAACAGACCCATTTCAGGATGTGTGATTGGCATTCGGGGAGGTGGGAGCACACCCTGCTCTTTGTCCTCTCTCCAAATCTCTTTATATCCTCGGCACAGACAGTATGTGCTGCTGGACCTCATTCTTGAGAGCTGGGGAAAACAAAGTCCGTAAAGACCTATGGGGAGATGTCTGGGCATCTCTTCTTGGAGCATTGGACCGGAGGGCTTGCACTACCCTCTAGTGACAGATCTGGAGAACTGGGTAATCTGATTTGTGATTTATTTCTCTGCAGATGTACTTGATACTATCAGCGACTCCCTCTGTTTCTTACCCTCAGCTCCTCTAAAGCGGACAGCAGGCCATTCCCACTTGTCGTGGTGAAGTTCTGCCTAGACTAAGACGTGAGGCAGATGATTTATCCAGTTGTAGAATGGGGCACTGAGCCCATTCGGGGCAGGTGAGGGCAGCAGGGGTATCCTATTGCTTTCAACATGATGGAGCTAGGCCAGGCAGCCTGGGGCTTGGTCCGGGCCGTTTCCAGCAGGAAACCACCACTGTTATTTTGTTCTGGTTCCATTTGTGCCATTGCTAGTTCCCTGATGGCCGGCAGTAAAGGGGAACATAGGATTGAGAACTTGAGGCACTTGAGTGTGGTTCCAAGCAAGCCAGCCTCGAAACTGGAAGTGCAGGGAAGCAGCTGAGTTCCAGCACATCAGCCTCCCTACTATGTTCTTCCTAACCAGGTAGGTCTTTTCAAGGAGTCAGTGCAAATATGTCTGTGTTTTGCACAGATGTGAAAAATGGCCGTTGGTGGTGACAGTGGGAGACCCTACAGCTATTGAAGTGTGGGGCAAGCAGGCTTAGGCCATCTGGTGTGAAACACTGGAGAAACAGGACTACTTGTGTAATGCTTCTGAACTCAAACCCTGTTCTTTCTGAGCTTCCCTTGTCTAGTCATCCAAAAGTGACAATTGAACAGTGGTGGCAGAGGAAACATTACTGAGATAGAAATTCATGGGAAAGAGGAAAAAAAAAAAGATGTAAAAGATTTACCATGTTGCACCCTGTGGCTGCTGGCTCAGTAGCACATGCTTCTTTGGGACTGAATAAAAACTTGTTGAGCATGGGTATGGATGAGAGTCCAGCTGCAAGATAAAAACAGGAGGGTTTTGAGCAGGCCTAGTGACAAGTGATACTGTGCTCCTCTGGGTTTCAGGAGGGAGGTAACAAGTGGAAATGAGGGCTAGGAGGAAGGGGGAGATGGTGCTTGGTATGCAGTCTGGCTAGGATGCAATTATTCAGAGCTTCACAGTTTGAAATAGCTGCCCTTAGCTTTTATAAAGATTAAACAGCACACTTAAGCCCTGTGGGCCTGTCTATGCACACAGCCTCCAAAGTCACTATTAATTCTGTGGCACCACCGAGACACATCCCACCTTGCAAATGCTCAGAAAGCGCAGATCCACATCCTGCGCAGCTCGTGGAGTAATTGAAAGCCATTATTCACGCAGGCTAAAGGTCAGGTTCAATCTTGTAAGAGCAAATGGTGATGAAGAGAATCAACGCTGGGAAGGAAAGCAACAGAAGTGCATTCAGTGGCAGTCTGAAAACCTGGGTATTTACCTGGTAGAAGATGGTATCGACAAATCAGAATTGGGAGCATGAAAAACAGGAGGGCTGCAGGTAACTCCCAACAAAGTAATGTCCTGAACTAAGTGCCTAAATGAACGTCCTGGCTGTTGTGCTAGCAGCATGCCTGGCGATCATGTGTTGTCTTGCAAGGTGTTCTTAAACCACGTCATCAAACTGACCCGTTTCTTGAATGTCACTGTTGCCTGTAGGGAGTACAAGAACAGCAGCTCTGCAGTGGATCAGGATCGTCTTAATTTTATGCTGCTGCTGGGCAGACTGTGGTCAGCCAAGATACTGGCATCTGTGTGGAGGTGCTGGGCGCTCGGAAGCTGCTCGTGCCTCTGGTTCTGGTTCTCCCTTGCAAGCTGCACTCCAAGTGGGCTGTTCGGGAGGGCCTGCTGTGCTGGGCTGCTCTGGAGATCAGGCCGTCGCTCCATTTGTTAGCTGCAGAACACACAGGCTTTCTAGTGGGGTTTTCAGTTTTTCTTCTTGGTGCTTCTTGCAACAAGGAAGAGGATTTACACTGGGCACTGCAATGCCACCAAAAAGCCTGCTTGGTATCATTAGTGCGTTTGAGCCAGAGTGGGCTCGTGGGCAGGCGGGAAATGTTTTTTTTTAGCCCCTATTACAAGAGGAAAAGAGAAGTGTATTTCAGCGCATATAAGGAGAGTGTCTGCTCTAACTGTAGCAGGGTCTGGAGGAAAAGGCCAGAAGATCAGAGTAGGAGTGCGCAGGAGAGAGGAGATGAAGCAGAAGGGGAGTACAGAAACTTCTGAAAAGTAAACGCGAGGGTCTTGAGTGTGACACAGACAGGGAGGGCAATGGGGGTAGTAAGAAGATAGGAGTAATGACAAGCTTAGTAGCAATATACAGAATGGATTGAGGCAGCAGAATGAAATGCCACAGGGGGAGTAGGGGGGTGGCACTATCATACAGAGAAGCCACAAAAGTGAGGGCAGGTTGCGGTGCCGCCTCCCACACGCGTGTCAAGAAGTTACAGGGTTGAAGAAAGTGCAGAAGAGCAGGGGAAGAGGAGGGAGATCTTATCTTCCCCATGATCTACAGGTGAGGAAAACGTTGATCAGATGCTTATAAACAAGAGTGACAAGAAAAATGCCTCAGTCATAGTGCAGAGGCGGTGCCTGGGTTGAACTCATGGCAACTTCTCAGCAAAGTCAAGGCTTTTCCCTAGCATGTCACCGTGACCTCTGGCTTCTCTCCCTCCACATTCTCACTCTATACTGACCACGGGCTCCCCCTGCTTGAGGGATGTCCACCTACCTTCTAGTCATAGAAGTACACGGCTGGGGGCTGTCCTTGAATGGAGTGACTGCAAGTCATGCTGCAGCCCCTCTTGGTGCATGCCACCTTGACCTTGTTGAGCCCAGAGCACAGCAGAGCTCGCTCACATCGAAAAGCTTACGCAAACAGGCCTTAGCACAGTGCTTGAGAAAAATATGCTGGGGCATCCAGACCAACATCTGGCTGTAATGAGGGAACTCAAACAGCCGTACGGGCATTGAGGAGTACAGATATTGAAAGAGAGAAGCAATCTATGGAGGGAGCAGTGAAAAACACTGTGAAGATAAAATTTCTGGCAGTGTGCTATGTTGCTTAACTGAGAGACCCTGAGGTCTCAGGATTTCTCTTGCAACAAAAATGCTAGAAATCCTGCCACTTCAGATGTTTAATAGATAGAACATGTTGATAGAAAGTTCTGAGGAGAATGTGTGTGGGTGGATGGATGAGATGACCCAAAGGTCATTTTTTTCAACTTTTACTCTTTGGCAGATCACCCAACAACTCTTGACCAGACTAGTTTTAACTACCAACTGGGAGCTGAGAATTCCACTGTTCAAGTTGGGCTATAGGCCAGGGCTTGGAAAACGCTTCTCCAGTGGTTTTCTCCACTGCATGCTCTGACTTTCCTCTTGCTCTAGTGTCTGTCCTTTCCACAAAAAGTAGGAAATAAAGTCCCCAAAGAACACAGACTAATTTAGGTCTAATACAAGATGTGAAATAACTAACGAGAGAGGACTGAACTGTGAGCCAAAAACCTTATCCATATCTACTTTATTTAACATTAACATCATTTTAACCTCCTTTTATTCCAGGTAATCCAGGTCCAAACTCCTCTACGAGTGATAAAAACAAACAACAACCTACCTGTGTGTTATCTTGATTGAGAAGGATCGCCTGGAGACCTAGAGATTGAACAAGCTGAAACATTCACCTGTTGACTGATTTTGAAACTGCAGCAATGTCCTCACACAGTGGCCTGGGAAGCCACTGCATGGGCCTGGACTCACCTGGCACCCCTGCTAAAGCACCTTTACTGGGTGAAGCACAGACTTTGGATGACCAGTCCCTTAAGTGAGGGCTAGCAATGAATGTATTAATCCATATGTGTGTGTGCGTACATATTTTATAACTAAATACAACTGTGATGACTGGGTCTCAGAGCTTGCTCTGTGTCCAGAGAAGTGCAGATTTTCTGACTTACTTGTGCTGCTACTTCGGTCTGTCTAGCTACAGACTCAGAACTACTGTGTTGCATAGTTTACCACATTGTAGAAAGGTCTTGATCTGACTGGCTGGGAGGCTATGTCCATTCCAAGTGGCAAATTCTGGGCGAAACGTTGATGTTTACAGACAGCGTGGCAATTCTGTGTCCTCAAGGCATCTTCCTGTAGATTCCCGTTGTCATTTGCCCACACAGAAATGAGTGGTTAGGGGAGAAGAGCTTGGCTCAAAGAGGTGAAGAGATTCGTGTCCTAACTGTTTGTGTCTTGTCATAAAAAACAGCAGTTGAACAAAGTGATTTTGCAATAATCTGTTAAAGAGAAGAACTGGAATGGAGGGGGTTGTTTGAGCTTGTTGAGACTGGGCCTCAGGTGTGGGAAAGCAGCTTTGTACGGGGCCTACAGAGATGTGGGAGCAGTAATGCCAGCTTGCGATGGCTCCTATGAAACCCCATTTATTGCTAATTTAGTGACACTTTCCATTCATGGAAACAGAATGATTAAAGGGGCTCATCTTCAACGCTGAAAAGCAGCAGCAGAGGAAGCAGACATCACATATTTTTCAAATATTCCTTTTTCTTTTTTTAAAGTTAACCTTTCCAAATTCTAAAACATGCCAAATCAAGGGCTTTGATCCATAAGAATAGCCACATGCAATCAGACCAAAGGCCATCTAATCTGGTGTCCTGTCTCTGAGATAGCCAGTAATAGGTGATCGCAGACGCACAGAAATAAAGCCTCTATGCAGAGGTCTTTCCCTGACACTGTTCCAGCAGCCTCTGGACTCTGAACTGGCAGCTCCTCTGGACCTAGCTTTAATGAACACACTTAGTTCGTTTTTAAAAACCCTTCTGTACTTTTGGCCTCCACAGTGTTCTGTAGCAGTGAACCCTGAGCTCATTGTTTGGTATGAAAAATGAACCATCTTCCAGCTGTTTTAATTGCCTGCTGATGGTTTCACTGACTAACCCCAATTCTTCCACTGTCAGTTGTACAACATGACTATCCCTATTCCTTGTCTCCTTCTGATTTGATAGACCTATATCATATATGTCCACAGTCCTCACTTTTTTTCCCCAAGTTCAGGTTCATGGTATATTTGGTCTTTCATTATATGAGACCTGTTTGTCACCTCTTTTTATCTTGTTCATTGGCCCTTTTCCAGTTCTACCCACTAACAGAGTAGGGAAACAGGTTGTTTTTGTTTCTTCAGTATGTGGATTGATATTCCACTCTGCCTTCTTCCCATGTAAATTACATACTCTGCTGTCATAAACAAGCCCTCGTGTGATATGTATGAAAAATAACTCCTAATGGTAAGTAGTAACCTGAAAACTAACAAACCTACCTGTCAGAAAATTATATGGAGATCTGAAAAATACAGGTTTAGTTTTCTTTTATTTTAAGAGCCATCATTTCCTTGCCTGTGAAGTCCACAGGCAAATGACTGTTCCACTGTCAGCACAGAATAAGCTGTACCAAAGACTCTTCCAGGTGCCAGGGTACAGTAATTGTTGTAGTTGATGATAAAATGTGATTTATTAAGTAACTGCCTTTCCTGAGAGGGTGATTAACTCAAATGGCAAGCAAGCTTGCCTTCCTCGGAGTTCACCCAGTAGAATATCCTGAGACCCTAAAAAGCCCTTTGTTAAACCTGCTCATCCTTGTTTGATAGGCATTCAGAGTCAGCTAAATGCTGGCTACTCTATATAGGTACTGTATATGGCCTTCTGGGAACAGGCGATTTGTTTTACAGCTAACTCTGTCAGCACTTATTATCAGCAATGTTTCATAAAATTGCTCTTGGTAATGAGAGAGAAGTGTTGGAAAGGACACCATCACTTGGACACAAAAGCAACTTAGTATGTGAGCTGTCCTGTTGGCTTCTGGAGGACTGCTCATGTGCCTAAAACTACTTGCTGTATGTCTTTAAAATTGCCTAGAAGAGCTTGTTTTTTCTGTGCTTCCATTATTCTCCAGATGTTTGGGAGATTTTTTTTCTTGTATTTATTTTACTCTGATAGCAAAGATCAGAGATAATTTTATCAGCCCAATGTTGTTCCACTTTCTGTTCTGATAAGAATATTGTCATCTGGTGCTTCCCTGTTCTCCCAGACTTTTAAAATATTTATTTATTTTTAAATTGTGCAATAACTTAGTTAACTAATTAGTACCCTGTTGATGTAAATGGTCAAGTTTTCCAGGAAGTCCTTTATCTCTGTGTTTTTTATGTCTTTGTTGCTTCATCTTGGATGGAATGACTTAACAAAGAGCCTGAGAGGCTGATTTCACTTGCTCTTCATTTCATTCTGTGTTGCTTACGAATGTGTTTTCCCTTCCCTGTGCTATGACAGATGTGAAAGCACTTTTCCTTATTCTTGCCAGCTGCAGGTTCTCCTTTTCAGTACAAGTCTCATACCTGTTTGTCTTTTATTTTGTTGCTATGCCAGTTCATCACGTCATTTGTTGTTTTTAAATCCTTTTTTTCTTTTTTTTTTTTTTTGAAGTCATAAGAGTTGAGTCTTAGGCCTTGGCTCCAGGGCCTTGTGTCATTCCTCAGGCTTATTATGTGCTGTTAAATTAATTTTTAAAAGCCCTGCTTTTTTTGCATGATATGAATCTCCTCTTTAAATTCAGCGGGACTCTTTGGGGACGCGTGCAGCCTCGCTGATCCGGCGTCGATGCTTCAGGCTCTGGTGAAACCTGTTCTTCACCACGGATAAGATCAGCTGAACTTGGACCAGTTGGCTGCTCTTACAGCAACAGCTCTGAGGCTGGGTGAGGTCACTGGGTTTATTTTGACTAGTTTTGCGCCCTGTGGTTTTTGAGGAGCACTGGAAACCTGAGGCTGTGACCTGTAAAATGAATCTCCACTGCCCTGCCAGATAACATGTGGTTAATGATGCTGGGGGCAGAGGGGCAGGGAGCAGTCGTTACGGGTTCTGCCATGCCTGCTAACGGAGGTTGAAGGTGCCACAGTGCCTACAGCAGCCTTCAAATAAGCTGCCACTTGGTCCCTGCTCCCGAAGCCGTTTCTTGGTATTAATGTATATCAGGTCGCTAATCTTCTAAGCGGGCAGGAAGATGGGAAATAGGTTTCTTGTTCTGTTACTATTTTAAAGAACAAAATTAACTCTCTTGGAGCCCTCTGACCCTGGATCCCTCTTCTCTAGATCTTATCTACCCTTTGGCTCATCAGCCTAGGTTTGCTGATCTTCATGGCCTAGCATGGGGCATAGCATGGGGGCCTGCGTTCGCAGTCCCGGGGCTCCAGGCTTGCTCTTTCTGGCCTGGAATGGGCAGAGGTTCTGAACAAGCGTTCTGGCTGAATGCATGTGCCTTCTGGGTTTCCTTTGGCAGGCATTTGTATATTTAATGTGTATGTGTCCTGCAAATCATGCCAGAGACCTTTTCTAAGTCAACTCAATAAACTCCTTACTATGTTACATAGTTTGTTCATTGGCGTCGCTTCTAGTTTGTCAGCTGCAGTTCCTGGCTTCTTGGCGATTTTTCTTCTGTCAAGAACCTGCCTGGATTAGAGCAGGTTTCAGTGTAATGAGTGAGCATCTTCAACCAATGTTTGGCTGTGCTTGTTACCAGATGTGTGGGCAGCTAAATTCTCCACAAATACGGTGTCCTGTGGCTTTGAGTACCTCAAGAGAGACTCTGATTCATTCCTGCCTTCCCATTGCTGGAGTAGGCTGTAGCAGATGTCCACTTCAGTTTCTCTTTGGTTTTTCATTTTTCACAACTGCTCTCTCTGTGGCTGAACTCTATCTTGCTACAGCTATAAATGCATCTGACAAAGTGCCACCTCCCTTTTCCATCCCTGCTATATAATTTGTACCCATCAGTAATGACATTTCATTTATGAGATTCAATCCCTCTGCTACATTCAGTTTTACCTGGTACAATGTAATCCTTGACATTTAAGTAACTCAGCTCTTGTTTCTTATACTCCCTTTGTTTGTACATAAAAAGCCCATTCTTTCCTTTTTTAAATTCCTGACCATGTTTCAGAATAAATTCAACCTCTGTTTTACTGTTCGGCATTAAGGTACATGAAAAATTATTAGAGGTAAACAAACTTTTCTCCTCTCTTTCTCTGCTTAAGGTCTACATACCAATTGCATCCATGCTATTTAAGGGGAGTCTGTTGAATTCAAGCACATCTCACAGGGCACATTGGGGTCTAACAGATTCTGAGCCACTTGCTATAGAATATTAGCACTGCCATCTTCCTATCGCTTTGCTTCTTCAGTACTTGTTTTAGGGAGATCCTCCAAGAAAATCAGATAAATTTGTCCTTCCCCTTTCATTGATGATACTTCAATATTACATGTATCTCGTTTCTTGACACTTTTCTACGTGCCCTTGCAAAATAAGGGATCCATCCAGGAAGGAATGGCCTCTTTGTGTCCCTAGACATAATGTGCCCTGTCTGTAGCTGCTGAAAGAATGCAAATTTGAGAATCTCAATACAAAAGGCTTGGGAAAAGTGCAAGCGGTGACTGTACGAACCATCTTGAAAGGAGACCTACAGATGTAGCTGAAGCTGTGAGACCTTAACAGGGTGGGCAGATTTTTACCTAACTCTTTGTACAACACTTATTTCTGATGTTTGTGGCAAGTCTGGTCATGTGTATTAGGGGAAGCTAAG